ACTCCCTGGAGGACTTGGACACCTTCAAGCATAGTGACCTGTGGAACTTGGCCAAGAGCCTGGACCTCCGAGCTAACCTGAGGGCTGATAAGTTGTTAAAAGCCTTGAAAGCTCACCTTTAACGGGAATCAAGAAAAGAAAATGAGAATCAGAATGAGTGTCAAACTTCTTCATCCTCTTGTGATGAGAGTGAGATACAAAATAGAGATCAGGAACAAACGGTCAGCCACACCACCAGAACACGGAGAAGGCGCATGCCAATTGAAGGGAACCGTAACTCCCAGCAGAGTCAATCAGAATTGAAAACAAATGATGCCACTGAATCCCGGAAGCGGGAGCAGCAAGAAAACCAGGATTTCAAAACTGCTGTAGAAGTTTCTTCTCAACCACACGAGAGCCAAGCTGATGAGAATTCTGTTTCCACGGAAAGAAGCAGAATAAATGGTAATGAAGATTCAAAGATATCTTCAAAAAGACAGAGGTCTCTTTATACACAAATGGTTTTTCAAAAGCTGGAAAAAAAAAAAAAAACAAACCCACAACAGCTGGAAGCACTACTCCAAATTTTAAGAAGCTTCATGAGGCTCATTTTAAGGAGCTGGAGTCCATTGATCAATATGTTGAGAGAGAAAGGAAACATTTTGACGAGAACAAGCAATCACTTAATGAATTGAAACAGCCTGTTCACAGGGGCGTGGTGCTGATTCCAGTTATGACTCCAGTTCCGCTCAGAAGGCCCTCTGTGGCTTGTGCTCCCGGCAGCCAGCGACACCCTCACCACAAGTCGGAGCATCTCTTATACAAAGCGGTCAGTCAAGTCCTCCATGTTCTCGGCAACAAAAATGAATGTCAGGTTTTCAGCTGCTAGTGAAGATAATGAGCATAAATGCTCATTGACCAAGACCCCAGCCAGAAAGCCTCCACATGGGAACGTTATCTGGGAGTACCCCAAGAGGCCTGACTGTGCTTGAGACACACAAGTTAAAAGCTGCCAAGGCTGATTCTGCTGCTATTATTACCCCCTTCAAACTGACTGCGGAGGCAGTGCAGACTCCTGGGTCCAGTAAGAAACCAGTGTTTAATCTCAAAGCAAGTTTGTCTCGTCCCCTCACCTATGAGCCACACAAAGGGAAGCTGAAGCCATGGGTACAATCTAAAGAAAATAATATCACAAATGAACATGTACGCAGAGTGAGCTTCTATAAGAAAACTTACAAACAACCTCGTCTCCAGACAAGAGAAGAGCAACGGAAGAAACATGAGTGAGGGCGAAAGGAGAAGAAAGTAAAGGTTTTGGGAGCCTGGAGAGGCCTCACTATAGCAGCAGATTAATGTTTTCTTAATATTCTGTTATTCTAAACCATTTTGTCTTTGCTTTTGTAAATATTTTTATGCTGTTCTCAGTTTCATCAAGACCTCTTTCTACTCTTGTGTTTATATGTAGTGTCTGTGGCCTCCACCTACAGTATCTCTTGAAAGATTCTGCCACTATAAAGCTGAAAATAACAAGTTAAAAACAGGGAAGCTGGGATAAAGAGTTGTCACATCATCAGTGTCTAATATAGAGAATCCAATAATGAAATGATGGGCCATATGGTTTGGTTATGACTCAGTATTTTACCCAGGTAAAAAATGTTTTTGTTTAAGCTTATATAAATGCCTTTGTGTAAGCTCATATATAAAATCATTTCATATAACTGCCATGTATCACTCATTATATTCTTAAGACTCTGCCTAATTGTAGATTGCTTATTTTAACAAAAAAAGATACAGGGCAATATGGAAATTTGAAGATTGATGCTTTAAGGATGACTATGTTCTGTAGAGCTAGTATCTTATTCAATTTATGTAAAGGACTAGAGTTGCTTAGCATTATATATATCCACTTTGTTACACATAAGTGGAGCTTCTGAGTTTTGTACTGCTTAAGATTTTCATGAATAAAATTTTTTCTCACTAAAAAAAGGAGATGGAAGGAATACAGTGTCACTGTACCAAAAGCAAATGGTTAATTTTCAACCATTTCAAGAGGTAGCATATGATCAAGAGCCAATGATACTGAAGGAAGAAAGAAGTCCAAGGTGCATTGAAGGAATTGGCAAAGAATAAGGCATCAGGAATTGATGGAATAAAAATTGAAATCTT